GAGGGGAGCCCAGGTAAACGCTGCGTTCCTCGGTCTGTGGGAGAGTTTGTGAGGAAGAGGCAGGAGCTAGACCAGCTGGTCTAATCATCATCATCATCATCATGATAGTGAAAACCCCGTTCCATTGTGTAGCCTCCGTGCAATCGGGGGGAGAATTTCCAAGAAGCAACGAAATGCTCTTTGCTTTCATAGTGTCTGGAGAGAAAGAATTCCTTTTTTCGGGTTCTGCTTGGCTGGTGCGTTCTTGCTTCCTCGCCCTCGCCGTGGGTGCCAGGGAGGCTCACTGGTCTGGGGCTGGGAAACGGCGCTCCTGGCTTCCCCGCGCCCCTTACAACGTGAGATCGGAGCAAATACCTCGACCTCCCAGGTCCCCTTCCCCACCTTGAAAGTGGGGGTATTGACACTAGCCACCTAAGGTCGTGGTGAAATGCCAGGGAGGGGGGTCCGCGCTGTTCCCTGCTCCTGGCCTGGAGCGGCAGGAAGCAATGCCCCGAGGCCCCCTCTCCCAGGTTACGTGGACATGGCCCGTAGCAGCGGTACAACACATGCTACAGTGCCTTCCCTGTTTCTGTCAGGTGGGGCACAGGAGCAAGGCTCTGCAGAAAGACCCAGGGCCTTTGACCTCCTGATATGTTGCACTGGGCTCCTGGAACCAAGGAGTGGCTGGGCTTCCTGCATAAATGCCTGTGAAACTCTTTAGCAGATGCCAAAAGTCACATCAAGGGGACAAAATGGCCCACTGTAAGTTATGGGGGGGCCAGTTCTGCCTCTGCTTCCGGTTTGGAGAGACCTTTGGGACAAGTGGCCATCCCCCTGAGCCTCTGTGTCCTCTTGTGTGAGCCACACGTGCTGTGCAGTAATGGCCAACATGGGTGGCTGAGAAAGAGGGGAGGCGCCTGGACTTGCCTGCGTTACCCTGAAGCTATCCAGGAGTGGAGGTAGCCGCTGGGGGCAGCGGCAGCCGGTTCCCTGGGGCCCCTTGGCATCTGCTGCCACGTGGGTTAGTGGTCTGTCTCTTGAGGCTCCCTAAGCTCAGGACTGGCCAGAACTGCCCTGCCAACCCAGCTTTCTCTCAGGCCTGAAGCATCCCCTGGCTAGCAGGCTTGGCAGCCATAGGACTGTGCTTTTACTCCCTGTCCTGAGCCCTCGGCACACATGGCAAATTGATACCACTAAACCCAAATGGGCCCTGGAGTGCTACTCATCGTAGCATCGAGGCAGCACTTGCCATTGATCATGTGACCCGATTCCCAACCCTGCTCTTGTAACTGGCCCCTGAGCTAGGAGGTGTAGCAGCATGCAAGCATGCTGCCCTTGGTTGCAGGGCACACAGCCTCTGGCTAGAGGAGGTCAGATAGATGCATAAGAAAGTAACTAGGCAGGACTCATTCACTCGTTCAACAAGTATTTATGGAGCCCTTGCTATGTGCAGTGAGTCACTGAGGAGAAACTCGAGTAAAGATGAGGGGGGGGCTTTACAGGCAGAAGAGTCAGTATGTGCAAAGGCCCTGTGTTTGGTGTGTTTGAGAAAACCCAAGAAAGCCGGCGAGGCTGGAGGTGAACTTGTGTGACACTCAGTAATGAATATCAGATGAAAACAAGGAAGAGGTCAGACCCCTAAAGTTTGCCTTGGCTGTCGGACCCTTTTTTCCCGGAGAGCACAGGTCAGTACTGCAGCTACAACTGTCTGAGTGTCTGACAGTTATAAGTACTGAACGTTTACTGCAGACTCTGGGGGGCAGTGCCATGCATGTATATGATGTACCTGGTATGGATCATTATTCTCCATTCATTAGGCACCTCAGGACATGGCTTTAAAGACAAGGACCTGCCTTCCAGCCTCATCTCTGTTACCAGCTGTGTGAATTTGGAAATAGAACTTAACCTTGCTGGCTTTGGCTCCTCATCTATAAAACTGGGCTTATGATAGGACCTCCTTCCTTGAGTCATGGTATAAAATAGTTAGAAAATATGTATAAACTGCGGAGCAGGGTGCTGTGGTGGCTGTGAGTTGGCATCAGTGAGGACATGCCTTGCTTTCAAAGATATTTAATACGAAGAACCTTCCTCTATACTGCGATCATCTAGGGAGGTCTGGGGAGTTTGATTTTTGGATTGCAAAAATCTCTCGCTTCCCCTTCCTAAAAATTGGTGCTTTCATTTTTTTTTTCTTTTTGTTAACTAGTATTACAAATATTTAAATGGAGTAAAATGACTTGGGTTGGTGCAGAAAAGAAAAAGAACGGTCTATAAAGAGATTTATTTTGATTGGAGCATGACGTTGTTTGAGTACACTCTGCTCCACGTCCCTGGCTGTCCCTGGCTATGGGTTGCAGTACCTGGGGTGGGCAGATGGTACTTGACCGGAAATACTGGTGGAAGCTCCTGCCTCGTGCACTCACCAGAGCCCTCAACTAGGCTCTTCCCGGGGCCCTGCCCTGCCTCTGTGGTGCCAGGTGGCCTCTTGCTCTGCACTGTCACTTGCTGCTGAGAATGGCGCTGACTCACTCTTCCCAGCCTTCCCACCCCACCCAGCACAGGGCCCAGCAGCTCCAGCCAATTCCCCTCGTCCCCTCTGGACAGAGGGCTCCTCTTCTTGGCAGCTCAGCCACAGGCTGGGTGCACCTCAGCTCTTACGAGGAAAGTGGAGTTTCAGTGCCCAGTGGGGGGGACAGTGGACAGAGGAAATGGGGGGACCAGAGGAGAAAGAGCCAGCCTATGGCAGATGGGAGGGTCCTTATTAGAGGAGGGGTGCTGGCTGACTTGTTGAATTGAATGAATTCCTCATCCTGGGGTTAAACATCCTCTCAGGCCATCATATCAGCTGGCAACAAAATTAAAATGGACAAGGCTACCACTGCTGTCACTCCCTGTCATTATGAAATCCACCACCAGTGCAGAGCTGAAGCAAGTTTAAAATCCGGGACCACGTCATCTACCGCTGAGCAATGTGTTCCCTCGGCCGGGATCACCACAAGGCGGCGGGTGGTGAAGTATCTACCCAAACCCCAAAGCAAACATGCGTCCCTCACCTCTGTCCCCAAGAGACAGAGAAAGAGTCTTGATAGTTTGCTGAGAAACAGCAACTTGGGGGCTGTGTGGAATGTATGGCACCGTGGGTACCACCCAACCATCTCCTGCCCTGGACACCACCTCCCTGGCCCGGGCAGAGCCAGGTGAGGGATGTGGGGTGGGATGTGGAGGGAGCCTGCTAGGGTTAGAGGACAGCCCTGGTGGCCTTCTAGGGAGAAGGTGGGACGGGCCCAAAGTCCTATTTCAGCCCAGGTAGAATTGCATTTGGCCTTTTCCCTTTTGGTCTTGGGCATAACCCCCTGCCCTCTGCCCTGCAGCTCCGAGCTGCACTGGGGGACCTGATAGCTCTCCAGAGCTCCCCACTTTGGCACCTACTGAGGACTGTCCTATCCCCTCAAAAGCCATTTAATCCCCAAATACTTCAAA